TCATTCTCATATTACAACTTTTTAACTGGTTCAACAATAAAGACTGATATTTTTTTCAACTCAAGACGCATAGTCGTTCCTTGTGTTTATGCAACCAACATAACAGGTCTGAACTATTTGATATGAAAGTAAAATAATAGATGGATAACATTTGACATTTTTCTGAAGCAAATATGAAACGGTATTCTGCCATTTAGGAATTGGAAATTGTGATTCTTTCCATTCACGAACAAAAGAAATTATCAAATATAAAATGTATATGGGTATTCAAATACAAAGTGTCTACAAGAGTGTTTACAAGAGTGTCTACAAGACATATCAAACCGTATAACTGAATGAAATATTTTTATAGGTACTTCTCATAAGTTTGGAGCTTAATTTATTGAACATTTCACAAGCCTCCTTCATATGATTAAAGCGCAAGGATTTGAGCTTTGAATTTTAAAAGCATCCAATATAACGGCAAAGCAAAAATAAACAAGTTTGAGTTTATGAATAACAAATGGTTTCGTGCTGTCATCTAACATTGAGAGCAAAAATGATATATTGGATGGAAAAAATTTGTAGATTTCAGTGTACATACATAGATCTTTGTATATAGAGTCTATATACAATGCTTAGATCATTCCTGCCTGAACTAACTGATCGATATTTATTTATTATCCTGAAAGGATACCTATTTTAGTTATAAAAAGATGTACCTACCTATAGAAACCCAGGTCTCTTCAATAAATAAGGTGAATGTTGAAATTTTGCGGGCCATATACATTCGATCAAGTACTTTTTTATTTTTTTATGTTGGTACATGTTCACTGTTTCAGTTGTTCATCATCATTAGTTTGTTGATGAGAGGCATAAAAGTTAAAAGTGACTAGAATGTTCGGCGAAAAATAACTATGCATAAAAAAATTGCAACAAATTTCGTTTAAAGACTGGTATTAAGTGCTCAAAAACACTTGAAATGTTGACAGTGGCATACGGTGATTGTATTCTGAGTCTGAGAAATGTTTCCGAATGGTACAAGCTTTTCATAGAAGGTTGAGAAGCTTTCAATGACGACACTCGCTCTGGACGCACCACCACATCAACAACCGATGGAAATGTGGAGAAAGTGAAGGAAATTGTTATGGAGAATCGTCAAATCACTATTAGTGAAGTTGCTGACGATGTCGGCATATCGGTTGGCTCATATCATGATTTTTTTTGTATTTGGGGCATGAAGCGTGTGGCAGCGGAGTTTGTTCCAAAATTGCAGAATTTTGACCAAAGAAACCGTCGCATGAGCATAGCTTAGAAATTGTTGAATGACGGCGATCCCGATTTGCTTAAAAGCGTCATAACTGGTGACAAAGCATGGGAATATGGTTATGACATCGAAACCAAGGTCTAACTGTTTCAATGGAAGAGCCCTGGAGAGTCAGGACCAAAAAAAAACCAGCCAAGTTCCATCAAATGTCATCATTTTGCTCAGTGTTCTTTCCGATTATTGTGGCATAGTGCATCAGGAGTTTCTGCCGCATGGTCTTACGGTCAGTGAGGAGTATTATCTTGAAGTTATGTACCGCTTGCAAAAAGCAATACCAAGAAACCGTCCAGTACTGTGAAAAACAATTCATGGATTTTGCATCATGATAATGCACCTGCTCATTCGTCATTGCTCGTTCGTACTTTTTGGCCAAAAACAACTCAGTAATCATACCTCAGCCACCGTATTCACCAGATTTGGCCCCATGCCTCTTTTTCTCATAAAGAGACGGTATTTTGCGACGATTGAGAAGATGGAAACCGAATCGCTGAGAGAGTTCAAGAACGTACCAAAAAGTGAATATCAGAGCTGCTTTGAGAATTGAAAAATACGCTGACACAGGTATACTCATATTATATCTGACGGGAACGGCGTTGAAGGGGACGAAATAGCAATAGAAATGGAGATAATGATAATACTAATAATGTTAATTCACCATTTTTATACACGTGGGTATATGAGGTAAGTCAGTTGTACTAAAAGCTAGTAAAAATGTAAAGAGAAAGAGAGCGAGCATATATACATAAATACATACATATACATTACGTATATACATACATATATACAAAATAAACATATGAGCCCTAAACTTCAGTGAACATTTTAAACTATTTACTAAAATCAAACCTAAATAAAATTACGACCACTGTGATTTTGTTTTTTTGTGAGATTGTTGATTAAAAAATCTTGGTAACTGCTTCAGCATCTTTTTAAAAGAATATTTTTAATACTATCATGAAACACTTTGTCATTTGTAATTTTTTCAACCACATAGGCAGCTTATTAAAGCAAGTAATGGCATTATACTGAGGGGTGATCGACAATGTTTCATGATTAATTTCACTAGTTACGACTTCCATTTTCTAATTTATAAAATGATTTGAAATCCCTGAAACAAGTAAAAAAGTTTCGGTATATATCCTAGGTCCAATACAATTAGGAGAATTTGAAACAACGATAAAAATAAAAGCAACAATAAAAATTAATTGGCGCTCCGGGGTGACTTAATTGATTCCAGTGGCGCATTTGCTTTTTCAGCTGCAGGAAAACCCGGAAAAACCTGCAGCACCACATCATCTGAAGATCTTGATCTAACAATGTCCTCTCTCTTATAAAACAAAATGTAGGGTGTCTCCAGAGGCTCCAATAAATTCAATGCATCGCCAGAACACTTCGTGACACGACTATCGTCAAACTTAAACCAGTCCGTTTCGTCTTTGACCAAGGCGTAATAATGACCAAATTCAACGCCAGAACCACAGTGAACAATGACTGCATGGATATTATAATAGTGGTCTGCTAGATTGAAATGTTCATCTATCTCGAACCTTCCATAGAGTTTCTTGCTTCCGTCAGAGGTTGAGTCTTGTTTAAAGATCACCAGTGGTATTATTAGATTGACTGGTGCCTCAGCTATACTTGTTTCCTTATAACAGTCAGTTAGTTTGGCGCATGTTTGGCAATACAGTCGATCATCACCTGTTAAAAATCAATTTTCAGATGATTAAACAATAAGCTTTGCACGAACTGGTTATTAGTCATATTAGGAAAAGCTAGATGAAGTTCCAGATAAGTTTCCGCTACCTTTTGAACATTTACTACAAAGTAAACAAGTGAGGATTTCTCCAGCAAAAGATTTACAAACACAAGACGAGATGGACTGTATGGAATCATTCAATCCAGAGCGGTCAGGAGTATTGATTTTGCTATTGTTTTGCTCACGAAGAGTATTCAACAAGAACCCCAAGAATTAGGAACAATCCTTTTGTTGTCCTAACGAGTATCTAGTGGACTTCAAAGACTCCAGGAAATCGGTTGGAGGAAAAGATGATACATTCTCATGGAACTGCAGCTGCATGAACAGGTGTTTGATGTTTGATGAATAGGTAGGAAACATTCCCGTTCTCGTTCATCATTAAAACCTCGTTCTTGAAATTCTTCGTCATGAACAACACTTGTACAATGCTATTCACATAGCAAGTGTTTCCTAAATTATCCAATCCAATTTTCTTCTTTAGATTTTCAGGACAACTCTCTACTGATTCGTAAGGAAGAACACGTTTCACAGAATCTCCATAAGAACAATTTCTCAAGCTGCGATGTATCCTTCCAAGTGAAGAAGGGTTTCGTAGAGGGATCGATTCGACTCTTGCTTCATGAAACTCTTCCACTGAAAGGGAACCAGAACTACGAGGACTGCAACTCATATTTGGGGGGCAAGAATGACCGGAGTCCACTGACCGCACTGAAAAAGAAGAAGGTGGATCAATCACTTGTGAATTAACCTTGATATGAGACTGATGAGTATCCACATATCTTGGCTTGTTTCGATGAGATTTCAGTTCCGTACTGAAATTAGGGCAATGCATGATGTCATCAAAATTATGTGAAGGAGGAATAGTTCCAAGGACCGAAGCAGCATTGCCACGTTGAATAGCAATACTAATTCTTTCTATAAAAAAGAAGTAAATCAGTGATCTTTCGTTGCTTGGCCTATTCTCCTTCCGAGTTCATGAACGAATAACAGAGACTCCGGGCCATAAACATCAAAAGTTTCAACCGCTACTGGATGGAACAGATAGTTGTTTCCAAGATTTTGGTATTTTTTCCTTTTCAATTTCTCGCCAGACAATGCTGCAGTTCCAGCAGACTTGGAACTTTCGGCTAGATGGGAAGCCGCGACCGTGTCAACGCA